CTGTTGTAGGAGGTTCAAGCCGTCGATTTTTCCAAATAAAACATTTTTCTATGCCTTATAATACATCATCATAAATCTTAATAGAAAAAGAGTAGGTCTGTGTATTTTATTTTCTCCAGACATGTATAATACGACTTCATTAAATAATTATTTATTATATTCTGATGATTGTAAGCACTTTTGTAACTCTATGGACACAGCACGGGCAGACTATTAGCCGCGCCCTGCCCTCGTCTGTACTATGCTGATTGCTGTTATTTATTGCCATTCTTCTTTATTACTTGTTTTCTATTTCACAATAAATAATATCTAATTTTATGGAAAAGGAGGTCAAGTGACAGAAGGTCAACTTGCGTGCCCAGGGTATTGTGTATGTAGATTGTACATTCAACGCATCACATAATCTTTATAAACCTATTAATACCAGGGGCATTATGTACATTCAACGCATCACATAATCTCTTTATACCTATTAATACCAGGCTTAAAATCGGAAAAAATCGCTTTTAATGCAGAATGTAAACTCGATTAAATAATAAATGTTTAATTTAGGTAACTACACCACACATAGGTTACCAAACAAACATTGTAACTTACGATGAATACCTAACGAACCCGAATAAAACTAAATGAACAGGCCCTGTGAGTCCCATTAATCATATTAAACCAGTCTCTTTTAACTGTTATTTACACTATTTACTTCCTTACTCGTAGATAAGTTAAAATTAACGCTTGATTTAAGCGACACAAGTAAACAAACAAAGTACTATTCAATTGTTTCAAGTTACAATTTTAATGAATTATGAATAAGGACCGTTCATTGTGGAAAACCTTGGGGGAGCCTTTGTCCAGCAGTGGACGTCATTTGGCTTTGACGAACGAACGAACGAACGATGAATATGATTGTAATGAATTAGTATGAAAAAACCGTGTGGTTGATACTAGTAAGTACTACGAGTACTCTTACTTCGGATCTAAACATACTTGGATATGGATAGTATGCAGTATTTAATCTCATCATCATGTTTTTATTTATTTATTATAAGTTTATACAGAACAATAGCAAATAAAAACAGCCAGTCTGAATCAATACAATCCAACAGTCGCTATGCGTAGCCACTACAGTTCTGTGAGCATTCGTCAGCAGTCTCGAAGTTGTTGGTGTTGGGCGGATGCGGGCAGTCGTAGGCCCAGAGTATCCTGGTGCACTTCTGCTGGTCCCAGTCAAACACGAATCTAGAAATAATATATTTTATAGCAGTGGTTCCCAAAGTTGTCTGGGCTATGACTCTTCTAATACAAGTTCCCAATACTCGGGACCCACCTATAGGAAATTTAACCATTACCAATATGCCTAAATAAAGGACTCGGATCTGTAGGGTGGTATGTCGTCCTACAGGCAGGGCCCACTCAATGTTCGCTCGCAACCCACCACTAGTTACCCATAACCATAGTTTGGGAAACCCTGTTTTATAGAGTTTAATCGAAAGTTGGCTGGACGCAGGCCGCTACCAACCGGGCAACATGGAAAGCATTGGGGGAGGCCTATGTTCAGCAGTGGACGTCCTATGGCTGAGATGATGATGATGAATCGAAAGTTGAACCAAAAACAAAATAGGTTCCATTTTACTAAGCCATTTCATAAAAACGAATGGGTACCTACATGTCAAATCAGTTAAGATAATAGATCGTTTCATCCACGAAGATGCGCCCCATCAATTTTTGGTCGAGGGAGGGAAGCGCGGGGTGCGGGGAGTTTGATCCGAGCAATCCGAGCGTTATTGTAGTGTGCGTGTGCACTCATGGATAATTTAGCGCCTACCGATAACACTCAAACATTAGCAGAAGAATGGTGGGGCGCGTCTTCGTGGATGAAACGATATATTATCTGAAATTCAATTTCTAAGATATAAGTTGATATGCTTGGTACTTCATAGGATGTATAGCTTAGCTTGTCAAGCCGCTTGGCAGCTCATAGAGTTAATGAACTGTGTACGGCTGTGAGTCACCAGGTACTCAGTAGTCTTAAAGACGGAGTCATGGCAATCATTTTCCAGTCATTCCGGGTAAGTCATGTCATTATGACGAATAGTGCCTCATTAGAGTTTTCGCCAAGGTTGTGGCCTAATTGTTAGAACCTCCACGAAAGGAGATGATTGCTGAACTTAGTGCGGCCATAATAATTTAGTATTCGTGAAACTGGAAATAGTTTGTCAGTAAGCCAAGACATTTAATGCATCCACCACCAAGGTACGTCTCAGAATTCAGTACATTAAAGTTATCGGGATTTTGATTCTCAGTTAGTAATGGATTAGTAAGGAAAAGTGATATTTTTTACATTATAAATTAGTCTTGAAGCTTTTATCACAGCATTGTGTTATAAAGTAATGCAGTGTTAAAGTGTCTTACCTGACGTGGTGAGGCTTGTAGGTGGGCTGTCCGAACCCTAGCGTACACTTTGAATCTGATGGTTTCACCTTGCATTGCTCCGAATCCACTATCAAGAAAGTTTTGTTTATTAAACCCGAAGTATTTCTGATAAGCTTGAATAGGGTAAACTTCCAGTCATTGGACACTACCAGACATTGGACAAAACAAACCTTGAACGTGCTCAATGAATATTACTACTTCCAATGCGAATTGCAACTTATCGCATCTCTGTCTCTATTAGTCGAAATCTCTTAGTTGTTGAAATAGAAATGTTATTTTTAATTTAATAAAAAACTGTCCAGTTACTCGACTATAATATGGTCCATAAGTGTCCAATGACTGGAACTTTATCCTACTACTAGCTGTGCCCGCGACTTCGTCCGCGTGGAATAATGACTTTGGGTAGGCACTTTTAATAATTTAGTCTAATTATTTTACAAATAGCTTTTGCCCGCGACTTCGTCCGCGGAGAAGTCGAAAACGTTCTCATACGATTTTTAAATGTTTTTAACGTTATTATCTAAATGTTTGAATACTTATAAAATATAAAAATCTTAAAGGTTAAATAAACATGAAAATAAAATTTTCTTATATTTTATGAATATGCAGCTCGGCCTTTGATCGGTGGTATTATCTTTTTACAACGAAATCGAAAACTACACCTACCGCAGTATTATTGGTAAACTTTTTTTTTATTTTCCTACGGGTGCTAGAATCACCAAGCTTCTAGCATGCCACTGGCCGTGTGAGAAGGAGCTCTTCCTCAAGACTACTCCCACTACCTCGAGGGCCTCCGCCAAAACTCTCGCGCGAAAATGAGTTTATGTACACAGCGCAAGCAGGTGCCCGCGGCATGAATTGACCGTCATGCATTACTATGCATTGTTAGGCGAGCGCACGCAGCGGGCACCCACTCCGAGGTTAAGTGGAGGCCCCTAGAGTATGATAGTCTTTAACATGACATGATTGTAAAAAAAATGCACTAATGAGTAATTAATATCAACTTTGAAGCAAATCACCACTAAAATAACTTTCTACCCCTTTTTAACATAGTTAGGGGGTGCATTTCACTAAAATACGAAACACATCTTCCATTAATTCTGTTATAGAATGCTTATGAATTGAACGAAGGAATCTCGNTTAAAATTAAATACTTGTGATGAATAACTTATTTATTTGGATAAGGATTAATATCATGTTTATGAAAAAACCTCCGCAAATAATGCATTAATAAAAAACAGATTTCTTTTTGCATAAAAAGGGTTACTATGAGCCAACCTTAAAAGATAGACATATACTATCGCGGACTTTTTTTTAGAACTTTTAAAGGGGAACAATCCTGTCATACATGATTTTAGCGAAACTTTAACCGTTTACGCAGCGTCAGCTCTCAAAAGGAAAAAAATCACTGATTTGAAACATTATTCATTGGTGCTCCGCTCCTATTGGTCTTAGCGTGATGATATATAGCCTAAAGCCTTCAGGAACTAACGGGCTATCCAACACAAAAAGAATTTTTCAAATCGGTCCAGTAGTTCCTGAGATTAGCGCGTTCAACCAAACAAACAAACAAACAAACAAACAAACAAACAAACTCTTCAGCTTTATAATATTAGTATAGATGATAACTTGCTTTGAGACAGTCATTGTCACGTGAGGTCGAATCTCAAGCATTGCTCTTTTGTTTTATATTGTAATTAAATGCGTATTTTAGTTTTAATATGTATGTTGTTCATTTTACTTACGCCTAGCATCCAAGCCGGAAATAAAACAGAAAACAACTAAGACTGCACAAAACTTGTACATTTTGATTTCTTGTTAAAACGATTAACTATCGCCATTCTTATACAACTCTTATTTATATTGAACTAGGGCAAATAAGAACGATTGATAAATGAAATTGATTTAGTCACCTTTTGACTCTGATTCGAAATATTGTGTTAGGATACCGTGGAGATTGATGCCGATTGTATGTGTGAAATTAAAATGTAAACAAAACTTTTTTTTTATTGTGATTGCCTAGTGGTATTTTCTTAAGTATAAAGTTACAATAGAAGTCTTATTACGGTAGTTTATTTTTACTTGTAGTTAGTTAAAGCGGCAAAAGTATACACGTATATTCACTGTAAACATTTCAAGCGTCTTAGTACGGTTCATAAATTACACACTACTGCAAGACAGACAACAGTGGAAACATATTAATAGGGTTTGTAACCTATTGTCATGAACCCAAAAGGTAACAAAGCGACAAAACATTATAAAACTTCCAAAACAATTTACCTACTACACGGTTTTCAAAGTAATTGGATCTCTTCGAAAGGTATTTACTCAAAAATAAATATCTACCTAAGTGAAAAGTTAATCTAGTTTTGCAATTGAATAAACAATGTAAAACTGTTTCAACATTGTATATTAGCATTCAGTCCATCGAGCAATTTTTCTTATTGCATCCAATTATAGAAATGCCCTTTAATAATACTTAGTTTTAAGAGTTCAACCTTGTGCGTTAAATAAAAGACAAAAAATATATGATAACTTATATATTAAGTTGTAAGGTATGGTTACACACACAAGTATTTACTTAGATTAGATATTTTTACGGTACCAGAAGCTATGGAAATGTCCAGTTCGTTGGTTTTGGCAGAATTTTAATAATTGGTCTGCGAACATTCCATTCGTTGCCAGCCCCAACTAAACTGAAGTTCAATTGGTTCAGGAATTATATTAAACGAATGCTCGCGAAGTAAGTACTGGAATGTTTACTAAGCCCATCCACTACACTCGTTCAGGCATTCGTACTCGCTCGCGAAGTTGTTCTTCCCCGAAGGAGAAGGTACATCTGGACAGTGTGATGACCAGCGGATTTCAAAGCACTTCTGAGTGCTCCAGTCAAATACGTATCTGAAATAGATACATAATAATAATTTAATATACACCTTCGTCTTCGTTTCAGCCGAAAGACATCTATAGCTGGACAAAGGCCTCCCCAAGGATTTCCACAAAGACCGATCCTGCGCCGCTCGCATCCAGGCACCTCCCGCGACCTTCATCAGATCGTCGGTCCTCCCTATCTTGTAGGTACTGTATAGACGCGTCTGTGCACTAGTAGTTACAAAAATGTTGAAATCTCTAGACTCACTTGAAGTTAATTCCGAGTTAGTTTTCACTTTGTATGTTTGTGTTTGGTTAGAAATTAATACACTGGTACTCGTAAATACTATCAACGTACGTTATACCTGATTTTGTGAGGCCAGCGCCACCTAACGGCCCATTCTATCAAACAATGTTTTTCTGGTGGCTTCTCCATGCACTTTTCTGGACTCACTATTGAAAAATAAATAAAAAAGATTTTGTTATAAAAATAAGATTTTTGTTTACCTACATAATGTAATTTATAGCCAAATAAATTAATTTAATACTTACACCTTGCATCCAAATCGGAGATAAATAGGGATATCACTATGATAGTACTGGCGACCTTGCACGTTTTGTACATCGATAAAAAGGTTATCAAACTATTCAAATACAAGACGCAGTTGTTTACAACTGGCTCAATTAAGAATAACTGATATATAATTATTCATCTTGGAGCTATCAGCTAAGTCACCGTGCGATGACTTGAAATTATCATGCGTATTATACTCACCAAGACCACTTATGACTGTGTGTATGATTAGCATTCATACATAGAGTTGCAGAACATTAATTAATAAGTATTTACGCAGTAAGGTTCATTATCTCTAAAGTGTATTTTTTGTCGACTATGGTGGCAGACTGTCAATATTGCTTAAACGAGTATATGATTCATATTTTATGTACTGTATTGATCAGTCAACTTGTCAAAATTGCTCCAAGTCGAGAAAACATTAATCCTCCACGATGTCATCATTATAACTAGAGAATTCCTAAAAGAAGGAATATTGTAAGGTATTCTTGTAGGACAAAGAATTTTCCATCTAAAAGTTTACAAATTTTCCTCTAACATGCGAAAATAAAGTACACAAATAAGGAGCTTAAAGTTTATTACTTACACACACACCTAAATAGATTTTCCACATTGTTTGCCTTTCAAAATAAATTATAACTAAGTTAGAAATGTAGCCGAACTAATAAACTTGGTATTGGAAAGCCGTAAGTTATCAGTGAACTTGAAGTTTGCACACTCTAAAACTCAGCTGTTTCTGCTGTCAAAGTGACATGAGACTCCTAGTTCCAAGTTTCCAATATGAACTTATTAGCAACTCTTACGAGTGTAAATGAGGGAACAAAAATCTTGTTTGAACTTAATATGTGAATTGGTGTATGAAAAAACCTGCTCCTTGTCTCTCTTTATCCCGGAATACGCGAAAAATATTAAAAAAGGAGATTATAAGGTTGTTTCCTAATGATAAAGATATCTAAATGAGTTTATTTGCTCAATCTTTCTAATTTACCTTTTGTAAAATGAACTTACCTTATTTTCTTTGATATCTGGTAAATTTTAAAATTCCTTTTGCGGGGTTAACAAGTTCGATAGATAGGTAATTTGTTGTTGTTGTTCTTGTCTAATCAAATTTTGAAAGTCTTTAATCGATGTTTTTCGTAGATTTTGTGTAACATTTTCACTAAAAATTATTTCCCCTTTTTCCTGTAGAGCCAAGACTCTTTTATTTATCTATAATTATGAAAAAGGTTTATAAAACTCAATTAATTACGTACATAGTAATTGGCCCTTTGATTTCGTGGGACAGCTACATAATTCACATTTTGCGATCCATTCATTAGGGAGGAAAAATGTGACAAACAAATACTTAAGCACGTCAAAGTTATAACACAAGGGGTGCTTATTCGTTAGAAATTAAAAATTGTGCATTACAATGACAAAATTATAGCCCCGCCGCGACAGTGAGACACTGCCGTGACCAGGATTCGAACCTGGGTTACTACGGCCACAACGTAGGGTCCTAACCACTAGACGATCACGGCTACCGAGGCTTATGAATGCAGTTACCAAAAACTCGCCTGCCATTTTATGCAAAATGCAACTGCGCCAAATTGAAAAGTCTCGCGAAATTACCGTTTGTCGACAGAAAATGAGACATTTCACTTATTCGGTTTTTATTGAAAACTGGAGCACTTTTTGCTTGCGGCAACAAATCGATAACACACCGTGTAATTAAATCGTCGATACTTTATCTTTTGATGGTTTTGTTTGCATTTCATTCAAAAACAATGATTTTATTGAACAAAGGTTATGTTATTACCAACGCAGAAAGATTCAAGAGTTTAAAATACAAACGGTTAAGTGCCTACTTATATATTTTGCAGAATAAAGACGACATGAAGCGACATTAAACTAAGAGAATATTTGAAAACCAAAAGTTTCCCGTGCTTGTTACCAACTCTACATTGAAAATTAGTTGCGTTAAAATTAAATTAGTTAGGTAGTAGGTACTTGTTTAACATTTGCCTAAAAGTATAAACTTCGTTACTCTATTATTGTTTAGGCAATTTTATAGATAAAGTTTAATACATAAAAAGTTAGTGTCGTACTAAGTATTAACTCCATTCAAGAAAAGTAAAAGTGTAATGATTGTATGCGCCAGCGCAATATCACGCTTGGGTTAGCATTAATTGCAAGTGTCCCAGTTATAACGGTACACTGTTATTTTTGGCAATTCAGTCACCAGCCCCGGTAGCCGTGATCGTCTAGTGGTTAGGACCCTACGTTGTGGCCGTAGTAACCCAGGTTCGAATCCTGGTCACGGCAGTGTCTCACTGTCGCGGCGGGGCTATATTTTTGTTTTTTGCTAAAACAGTCTGATATCTGGATTAAATTACCTACATAACTAGATCTTACTCCTACTCTTCCCGCGGGTGTCGTAAGAGGCGACTTAGGGACTTCACATTAAACAGAGAACGGGCAGCAGCGGTCACAGAAGCATTAATTAATTTTAAACTGCGATCTCGAATCCGTCTGCTAAGCGTGGAGATTATGGCAAAACCCTCCACTAAAATGGAGGAGGCTCATAGTCCAGCAGTGGGCTGTAAAGGGCTGTTGATTATGATGATGATAAGATCTTACTATTATATGTACACATCAATATAATGCTCAAACTTAAAACACACTTCGGTAACATTTATTATTATCAAAGAAAGTTTTTTTTATTTACCCAGATAACTAAAAGTCTTGTGCTGGCCGGTACTGCATATCTTTTCTTGTCTTCTTAGATCCACACATTAAATCGTATCCAATCTTTTATTTTATTAGAGTACTCAAACAGTTTTATAAGCCTTACCTGTAGAGTCATAGCTCTAAACACTCGGACGTTGTCTGGGGCTGGGGTCTACGTACGCTCACGGGACCTATGAAGATTTATAAGGTTCTTAAACTTAAAAATAACTATAGTCTAGATCAGTCTCTTAAATGCATTGAAGCCTGTTATGATCCAAATGTTTTGTAAATTCATCCAATTACATGTAGTACCTACTTTGTAGGGCAGCTTTACGACCGAAAAGCTTATATTCCCTAGGAGTATAGAATCTAAGAGCGCTAACTACATAATATTGTGATTTTATTTTACCATAGGCAAGTCAAGTGTCATTAAACTCATAAAAACCTAAAACAATACTTACAAATCTCTTCATATCGACATTCTTCACGGACGGTTTCTCAGGAAAGATATGAAAATGTTTCATTACCTTCAAATTGACGAGACTTTGGAACAATTTAACAGTTAATTTGCACATTAATCATACGAGGAGTCTTGTATCTTTTATTCATTGTTTCATTTCATCCATATGCAAGTCAAGTCGTTTAATTCTACGTATCTTGGGAGTGCTTAATTAAGCGCTCCTGAAAATGGCTGCCATTATGATTGTTTTAAATGTTTGATTACGCTTCGGGTTAGGTTTCGAGAATCTGGGGAGCTCAGCTTGGTATAGTAAAACCATTAGTAGAATAGGCTGCTAATTGTTGAAGTAATAAATAAATAAATAAGTAAAGTAAGTACCAAGTGTTGGTTTTGGAGTTTACCCTCAACGTTTGAAAACATTTTTAACTTATTTATTACTGTTAGGTATTGTTCATGGTTCTGGACTGTTACGTATTGCATTTATGCTCAAGCTTTTCACATAGACAGTAAAATTATTCACAGCGGGATTCGAGCCCGCTACGGCCTATGTTGTAACTGAATCAAATGATTCTTATAACAAAATCTAGGTATAGGCATACGTAGGCGTATGCTACCTACCTAACATAAAATTCTGAGTTATTCACGTAGGTACTTACCAGTATTTCGACTGTCGTCTGCTCCTAATGATGAGTTACACTGAGAAAAGAAAATTGCCCTTTCTTGACATCATGATATACTTAAATATTATGCGTACTTGCTTCCAGCCATTAATTTTTCGTTTCAGTAAACTTTTTAAAGAAGGTAGGTACATCATTATAGGTAGGTACATAATAAACTCATAACATTTATTATAAGTTTATTATGTACCTAGAATGATATTCATATATTAGACTCATTTCTTCATACAATAGAACAGTAGCACTAATCTTTAAAATTTTTATGAATTTGAGTTAAATTATAACTATTCCCAATGCGGAAATTTCAAAATTAGGTACTTTTAATTCCTGGAAATGCTTGTTCGTACAGTTTGTAATCCCTTGAACTAGTCCAGTAACGGTTCTAACTGCCCTCAGTGGAGCAGTTACCAGCGGTTATTGCTATAACGCGACCCTAAACTTCCTCGGTGCTGCATTTTAATAAACCCCTTTATAGCAACTACCTCTTATTAACATGCCACTAAAATGCTAATAAGCCTTTTTACCTTATGCCATTTTGCTCTGCAATGGTTTTGTGCAAACTCTAGATTAAATCAAGCTGGGAGCTGACACGTCATGATATGCCCGCCGACATTCACGACGCCAATAAAACGAATTTAAGTGTTTCATACACTTTATTGCTTCACGGATATTATTCTCCATAAAATCTCAAACAACCACGATTATAACGACGAAACGAGCGGCGCTTCCGACAGAGGCGCGCATAGACTATACGAGGCACTGAGAGACAGGAATCACAGATTGACAGAGCTTAGAAGATAGACGGACATCAATAGAGGAAGCTGGAGGGGGGAGGACGCGGGGAGGGGGCGGGTCGGGCCAGCCGTGGGTGGAAAGCGCCCAAAGCCGCCTCGTTCGTTGAAGATGGCCGCTCTTCCCGGACACGAAGCTGCGGCAGTCGCCAAGCCGCGCACGCAGACGTGAGCGCATGCCTGTTCAACACCCAGTAGGCCACAGCGTTCAGAGCCGAGTGAGCATATCCAAGAAGCAGCGCGTATTGCATCACCACTAAAGGGGCGTGGAGACCGAACGCGCCAGATATGACAATAGCTGCGTGAGGGCACCAGCAGGCGGCGAAGATCGCAGCTATACCAACGAGGACGTTCCCGAGTCTTCTCCGCGAGCGCAGCGTCGACGTTTGAGGTTGAGGCCCGAGGAGACTTGGTTGCAGTTTCTTTTTTGAGCGGACGTCGCCTACATCGACGGCATCGCGGCGTTCTCTTGGTCCGACGCCGGCGACGATGATGACGTGTGTGGGGCGCCTCATGAGGGGCACAGGGAGAGGCAGCTCTCCGTGCGCGGCTCTTGCTGTGAGCGAGAGCGCGGTAAGCTTGACGCGCACCGTCCAATGACATCGCGTGACGACTATCACTGGTAAACAGTATGTGACTAGGGCGTGCGCTGCTGCCAGGGGCGGGCATGGTATGCACGTCGTGATAACTGGTGCTGCACCTGAACAGAAAAAAGTTTTGGTAAACACATATCCAAAAAGAATGAATATAAACAGCTACATAGAGGTTTTCATTTCATACCTAATATGAAAGCTAGCAGCCATACGAAAACAACAGCAACGGGAGGACTGGCGCACATGTTCGAGCCCCGACCTCGTCGCACAGCCCCGCATCTGTCAGCTGCTATCGCTACCAGTGACAAAGTGCTGGCCGCCACCGGGAATGACTGAAACAAAATAGTTACAGCTGATTTCTAATTCATTAAGATAAATCTGCTAAGATCGTTGGCGTTACCATTCATCCTGTTCAAAATAACCCAGTAAGCTGTTGAAGTTGCATCTTCAATTTTAATTTCGTGTTTTACCAATTAGATTAATTACAGACTGTTTTGCTTATTAAATCGAGTACACTCACTTCATGGACGCCAACCATCATGGTGGAAAAGACAACCTAATGAAGGTAAAAGGAAGGCGTTGGATATAGGCCGCTATGAAATATGGTCAATATGAAAATCATTGCAGGAGGCCTATGTTCAGCAGTGGATATCCTTTGGCTGAAATGATGATGATGATTATTATTATTCTTCGTCTTAGTCGGGCACACTTCTCAGAGTGGTCGTGGTTGCGCTCACAAGGTACAGGATGGGGTATTCGATGTCATTTCTGAGGGTAGCCTGTCGTTATGCTTCCATTGATGATGATTATACTCACTTCAATATAATAAGTGAAGTGGCACGGCAAGTGCTGCACTCTAGCCGCGCGTGTGGCAGCTAGCGGTGCACTAGCCGCGCACACTAGCAGGTCGGCTGCGCACGAGCTGAGCAGCTGAGGCGTGCGGAGACGTGCTGCGCCGCCCGACGCTAGGGCGGCCATTAGGCTCACATTACCTGGAGAAAAATAAGTCATAGAGATTTTATGACCTTTTTTACCTAGATAATAAATGACCTAGAGTGAGGACTTCAATTAAATTTGTTTTTAAATAAAATATGCTTGTGTTGCGAGTGTGTCACTATAATACTTAGGCCATCGGCGGCGGGGTGTCCCTAGTTAGGTATCACTGAAAAACTTAAAAGGAGAGAGAGCTCTTCTAAATAATCGAAAACTCCGTACAATACTTGGATCTGTTCATGTTGGTCTTTGATCAAAATCGTATTGCGTTGAGCTTAAAGTAAGCATTACGTGCATGCGACATGTAGGCAGCACTGCGCTCCTTGAATCATTTTGGGAACTTTCTCATGGCGGAACTTTACCTACTTCAGCACAGAAAAAAATCAGGCCTTTTCAGCCAGTGTCAGCTGTGTAGCCAACTTCTGATACGTACCAATGATCCCAATGACGGAGACAATCGCATAGAGAGCGACGAGCGCGGCCAGCGCGTGCGCTTCCCCGCCCGCCGCGCCCTCCGCCCCCGCCGCCTCATAGCTGCCGTTACCGAACATCACCACGCATTATCTAGGCCTGAAACAAAAGAAAACATGATTATTTCTTTTATCATGGAAACTGTGACAACACTGGTGTCAGAGAGAGAGAGAGAGTGATATTGCTGAATCAACCTTGTCAATGATGAGAAAATTTCATACCCGTTAAAACACAAAATTTTAACTTCTAGTTCTTTTTCCTTTGAAATTGTTGTTAAAAGCAACTAATTTAAAGTAGTATCCAACTATTTCGCTAATTTGAAATTTTGCTCTTTCCCTTTGTGAACGTTAATGAGATTATTTTAGGAACTTCATCAAACAAACCGCAATCATTTTAATGAGTGTGCGATTCAAAGAAACTCTCTCAAAAGGAAATACAAAAATAATGAATAAACAACGACCAAATTGTTTCCTTTAATTAGCAATTTCTTTAAGGAACAAAATCGCTTTTATAATACTTCAACAGAGTCGGTAGACATCATAAAAATCATGCCTTAAAAAGTTAAAATGCGTAGACATTACGTTTTGATGTATTCCAGGAATGTTTAAAGGGAATAAATCTCGGGAAAGAATCTCGCACAAGGGCAAAGCTGTAAATATTGTATAAGCCCTGAATACAGCCGAACGCGGATCGTTAGTACGAGACGGAGCGAGCCCTGTTAGGGTCCATTGAGGAAATCAAAAGGAACGTGCTCATGACGATTAAGTAAACGACGCCGAATAAAAAATACGCCTTAGTCAAGATGTTACAGATAACAGGCTTTTATTTCTGTTCTTGTGCTTGTGTTTTACACTAGTCCTACATAAATGATGTACCTAGATGTGATCTAAGCTAGCTTAGTAGATAGAAGATACATAACATTGTCTTATAATATATGCTTTTAAGCTGACGACGGTGGTTAAGTTTTCAATGTGTTCATAATTAACTTATACCTCTACCGTCCCCGGGGTCTGAGTGACCTAACTTTGTTTTAAGTTAGAATAATCAAGTACCGACGATGGCATGGTAAGGCAAATACCTACTATGCTGGCTTATGTAGTTTAAAATTTTGCAACAAAAAAGTTTAACGTGACAGCGACCTCAGAAAAATAAAGCTCAACGGAGCTTATATTACTGTAACTGTTAAATTAGAGACATGTTTATAGCAAAATTACTAATTTTATTACGCAGGAAAGTCTATGTCCCGGTTTCTAAATTGAGATTTTCAGCTTCAACGTGCTCATGTTTACTCAAGTATTTAATATAAAACTCATACTTGATTAAAAGATTATTATAATCAACTTAATTGAACCCGGAACCTCGTCTAAAGCGAACTAAGCTTTCTTTGCCGCCTGTTAGCATCAACATAGGACGGGATGGATCCTGATAAAATGCCAATTTCAAAAGAATCACCATCGTGCCGCCATATTGGCTTTGTTTGGAGTAAAATGTGATAACGCATGTACGGGAAAAAAGCTAAATTTAGATGAATAAGCTTTGAATGGTGATGTTATTCTGTCGCTGGATGTTTTTAACAAAAGTTTTGCCAGGACTTTTATGTGGTATGTTGATCCTAAAGCTCATCCCAACTAAATTCGTTGTGTGGCTGTAGGTAGAGTCCAGTTTGAACAACTTAACTGTCATCGTTATGTTACAACCAGCCGTTCCCGCAACTTCATACCTACGTGTTAATTGTTTGAAAAGTATTTAAGGTTTTCAAATTTTTTCAATTCTATTGGTCGGTCGTAGCGGTTTGGCACTTATCATAGCTTGCCTTGCTACATGGGTTGGTTACCCACAAAAAATATTATTTCAAATAGAACAAATGGTACCCAAACTCTTCACAGCAACAATTTGGGTAAACTAATCATTAAATAATTGAAAATTTAATTATTGATCGGTCTTTATATGACTTAAAAACTTTACTTAATCGCGTGAGTCAGACCGTTTGGGAGCCATTCCAATTGGATTGCCCAGTCTAGACTCAATATTGCGCTGCGCCACTTGCACTCTTTTTCAACTTATTCCCATTTTATTCTTAGACACTGAATTCCTTTGCTGATGGTTGCAAATTCAGAGACAATATTGAGATGTAGAGAAAAGTTTTTCAGAGTAGCTATTGAGTTATTTTATTACCTATAATGTGTACTCGTATAGACGTTTTATAAAGTTTGAATACATTAAACAATTGAACTAAGTTTAACAAATTCTCGTATATTTTTTCATTACTTCGTTTAAAAGAATAGTCGGAAGTATCCCTGAAATAATTTTTGGTACATTAATACATTATTTATTATTGCCAAAAGTGATACCTACTTGTTGATTGACATGTTTGTTTACATAACCGCCCCGTTATTATTCTTGTTACTAATACATGTAACATACTTACATTATTTTGTTTTTCTTAAGAAAAAAGTATTTTATACCTTCATGTTTGTACAGTTGGTGTAGCTATTTCAGTTTGCCACTCGTACCTACATTAGCCTAAAAGGTACACATTAGTGTCGAGTACATAATTAATTAACATGTTAATTAATGAAGTACATACATTCTATGTTTATCTCTCGTCCTCCAAAAACCTATACATATTATAATACCTATGTATAATTTTTTTATGTAAATTAAATGTAGTATTTAATTTACATAAAAAAATTGCCCCGCCGCGACAGTGAGACACTGCCGTGACCAGGATTCGAACCTGGGTTACTACGGCCACAACGTAGGGTCCTAACCACTAGACGATCACGGCTATCGGGGCTGGTGTTTAAACCGCGTAAAGAAGTGACTATATTCTACAATAATAATTGGTAATATGGTAATGATTTAAAAAGTACCTTTTTAGTACGAATACGTACTGGTGGCGTGAAATGTTGATTTAGTCGGGTTTGATCAGAACTGGAGCACTTTCTCCGCCTGCGGCGTTCGCTGAGATTGCGTATACCGAGTACAGTGAACGAGAAAAGCATCGATGTAGAATAACATTAAGAAAAGGGAAAGAAGGTTCCATTTGAAAGCCTAGTTCTAAACTTCATTTCACTAAAGGAAAGGTTTTTAAACCAAAAATGAGTTTTTAGAAGGATTCAGTCACTTCTTCAAAAAATAGGTAGGTTCGCTTGAGCCAACTTTTATGGCAAAAAACTGTTAAATTGGGATTAATCGCTATCTATCTGTTAAAAAAGACACGTAAGATCATTATTTGGTTTTATAACCACAAACATTGGTCTAATTGATCCCAGAGGTGACCTCAAAGTGAGGCCTTTTTTCAAATCACATTTATGGTACCTGTTTATTATTTATAAAAAAAAATAATGTGTTTTTCTTTAAGTTTATTTATTGGGCTTTCAAATAACACCAATATTGTTGGGGCACCATGATTGTGTCAGAAGAAAATCTTTAAAGTTCGTGTCGCGGAAGGTGCGATTTATTTGATGATGAGTATAGTTCGCACCGTAAAAAAGCTATCAAATAAGTCAAGCTTCAAACTCTACTCGCCCTAAATTCACAAGCTCTACGTCTAAACAAAATATGTAACATGGCCGTATCGCTAACGTGGTGAAAATAAGTTCATTATTTATTGTAACAAAAGTGTATAGGCACATATTTTTTACCTTTACACTGAATATTCGGGTCCAACGTTAAATCCGTTCTGCTCTATAGGTGTGAAACGTGGAAGGTCACCAAATATTCGGGTCCAACGTTAAATACGTTCTGCTCTATGGGTGTGAAACGTGGAAGGTCACCAAGGTTATCTCGCACCAGCTGCAGGTCTTCATCAACCGCTGCCTTCGCCGAATTCTCGGCATATACTGATTACTGGCCCGAGAAAATCTTCAACGTCGAGCTATTGGAACGCTGCCACGAAATTCCGATCGACCAGCAGATCAAGCGCCGCAAGTGGAACTGGATTGGCCACACTCTCCGAAGGGACCCCGATCACATCCCTAGACAGGCTCTGGATTGGAATCCCCAAGGAAAACGCAACCGTGGTTGACCCAGGCAAACTTGGCGGCGCACTGTAGCGGACGAGGCGAAGAAGATCGGCAAAACCTGGAGCGAGATCAAGCGAGAAGCTCAAGACCGAACGAGATGGAGGACTGTTGTGGACGCCCTCTGCCCCATCTAGGGGACATAGGACCATAAGTCAAGTAAGTCACACTGAGTATAATTATTACAAAAACAATACCATTCTCTTTATTTTATCATAACGGGTCATTAATCGCAATATTATATTGCTTTATCTATGGTTTTTCATTACCTACATGTGCCTAATTCATTCGGTAATTAGTAATTACCTCAACAATGTAGGCAGATACTTGCGTGTTATTTGCCGGTGCCGATGTAACACGAATATTAGCGAAGATTACAATTATCCTGTAATTTTGCGAGATGCGAGAAACACGACTATGTGAAGGTAGATTTCAGACACAATTATGTTAAAACAAAGACTATGTACCTAATCCATAAACTGTACATAACATACAGCTCTGCCTGGGATAGAGTGATAACGGTCGTATTCACAAACATTACTATGAGGTCTCACAGTGCACGTGGACGCACAGGGTGGCACATGAACCAATCACAGAGCTCTATTCAACGTTGTGCGATCGATTTGCTGCTTCACTTAAGCAAGCATCGTTTTTGAATACGGGCGTAAGACTCATGCTGCTGAAATGAATTATGTTGTTACTAGCTTCTACATTTCTACTTACTATATCGATAATATGCTGTTGCGGGCAGAACAACAAAAACATTCCACCAATCGAGGTCTGATAGGCGCCATCCGCCAAGGAGTCAAACGTATTTAACTCGCTACAGTTCCCACAGCAGAAAAGTTTTTAGATTATAGTTTCAGGGTCTTCAGGATGGGCTAGTGAGTAATATTGTTAAATAACCGAGTTCTGATATGCTTGTCATGTTTACGCACTTTTAAATTAAACTCGTCCAAGCCTTATTACGAGTATCATACTGATACAAAGTTTTTCTTTTCCAATTGGACATTTATGAAGCAAATATTCCCTACAATAAATACAGACGAGGGTAAACCCCACAGACTGAAAAGG